ATCTGGAACTAATCTAGGCAGGGTGAACAAACACACTGGAAACAAATTTCAGCAAGGCTTTGAGGATTTCCTGGCTTTACAATGGGATCGCCAGAGTTCCTGGAGAAGCCAAGGCTGACAGCCATGCACCTCCATAACAAACAGGATTCACAGACATATACATCTTAGGTTCCCTTGAACTGTACTCTTTCTGGTAAGGATTTTACACAGCATTCATTCCTTTGGTCATACATTTCACCTGCGGAATTGGCCTTAAATATTCTTTCTCCAAATGTAACCAAAGAGCTAATTAGCTTCTAATTTGACTGCTGAAATGGCCCCCAAGCCCGTTCCCCAATGTGTCCATCTTCTACAGAAACTAATTATTTTCCTTCAGTGATGCAGACATGAGTAAAGAGACCTTCCTTACTGGCTCATTACTTAGTGTCTCCAATGAGAGACAAACCCTGCCCTAAGGTAGGTATGGAACACAGGGTGCTATGTTTTGATTGTCTCCTCCAAATCTTATTTGGAAACTTTACTGCTGATATGACAGTCCTAAGAGGTAGATCCTCTAACAAGTGACAAGTCTCATTATCTCACAGGTGGGTTAGCTATGGAGGGGACTCTGGCTCCCTTCCTCCCTGTCTTGTCTCTTTCTTATCGTATGATGCTTTCTGATCTGTTATGGTACAGCAAGAAGGTCTCACATGGTCCCTAGATCTTGGGCTTCCCAGCACTTTTGACTGGGGAACCAAATATACTTAATATTGCTTATAATTTACCTAGGCTCTCATAGTCCTTAGAGCAAAAAAAACAGATGTGGGGAAACAGCAGAACTAATTCAAGGATGTTTCAAAACATGGAGATATGTGAGATCATCATCCCCTGCTTGGTCACTGGGACATATACCTGACACCAGCAACTGCATGGGGAGATTTAATTTGGCTCATGGTTTCAGTTCATGGTCAGCCAGCTCCAAGGCAGGAGCATCACTGGCACAGAACAGTTGCTCACTTCATGGTGGTCGAGAAGCAGAGTAGGTAAGGAGTAAAGAACCACATATGGACCTCCAAAGTCACAGCTCTATGGCCCATCCAGAAATGTGCTTCACTAACCCCCTAGGCTGCTCCCAAGCCACTCAGGTTGACTGTTGGAGACCACTATGAAGCAGCACTGAGCAGGATTAACTAATTGGCTTTCTATGTTTATCTGTGAGTCTGTCCTAGGCCTTGGCCCCTTGCCTGGTGAGGGGAGCTGATTCATAGTAAGTGAACCTCTATGCAGCACTGGTTCTGGCTGAGGCCTGGAGTGGCCTGTGAGGCCAGAGATGCCTCAAAGGGCAAGAAAAGGCCACAGCTGAAGACACCTTGGCTCCAGCACTAATTAAGTAAATAGAGACTGCAGCTGCAGGCATCTCACGCCTGCTGTCAGAATCCTTCCATAAATGTTATCTTGGAGATAAGATGAATTCTACTAAATTAGCATAATTTACTATTTGGGGAAGTCTTTGAAGTGACTCTCAACGTCCTGCTCATTTCCTGTGCTTTCCTCAGTTTCCCCACCTTTTGTCTTTGGTTCTAAAAAAGTGGGTTGATCCAGAGAACTGTGTCTTAGCCCTCAGAGTTGTGAGCTCAACTAAAGGCCTAAAAGAAAAATCATACAATTTGTCTCTTTTTATTTAGCCTCTGCCGTACACTCGTTTGGAAGACTGAAAGCTAGCAGGGCAAACAGGAAGGAAGCCCTCCAGCTCCCCATCTGGTACCCAGGGCACACGGTAGTGGGAAGGGAACTCCACAGGATTGGGCAGCCCCACGCCGTGGCATTGCTGGTTGCAGGCCACATGGCCACTTCCTCGGCTGGCTCTATTCAGACTTCCTAGAGGCTCCACTGCCTCCTCCCCTTAATGCATTCCCATCTCCCGGGCATACTGCCTGGCTTCTACGCCTTTCTTGAAACTCTGAGTGGAAGCCTCCTTGACCCCTAATCCTGAGGGAAACTGGGAGAGAGGTTCCTTAGGAAACTCTTGTCAAGCAGGGGTCCCTGAGCTTCTTGATGAGAAGTTTACACTTTTGACCCCTTGAACCTGTGATGGGGAGCATCTTGTTGATTCCTGAGATGCCCTCAAGTCCTCTTTCTTCTTATTCCTGGACAAATTACCTAGTTTCTTTGTAATGATGATAATCTCCTCATCAACTCCACCTCCTTTGGCTCCAATTTTACACATGGTTCTTTTGGGGTTAAAATTCAAAGTTTTCAATTTGTTTTGCTCTGCTTTTTACCCTTCATTCTCACTCTGGCTAACAGCAGCCAGCAGTACCCACACCATAGCCTGAGTACTGGGCTACTTCAGAGCCTTGATTAGGTAGCCCATCACCCCTAATCTCATCTGCCAGAAAGTGAAAATTTCTTTTAACACACGTTAGTCAGTGGGCAAATAATGAGTTAAAACATTCTTTCTAGTAACTTTAGGACACATGGTACTTAAACAAATGAGTAAAACCTTAATTACAAAAACAGTCCCTGAATAACATCTTCCATCTGACTTTACAAACAATTATTATAATGATCTCAGAAGAGTGTTCCTTCAGATCATGATCAGTCTCATAAACCACTGTGGCCGTTAATAAGATAATCAGCTACAAACTAGACAATTGCTTCTTACTGCACAGACAAGTTCTGTATGTTAATGATGCTAAAAACCAGGACCCAAAGTCTTGCCAACTCCCTGAATAACAGCTCCTATACTCACCAATGAGCTTGAAATGCTCCTTTCATGCAAAGCTACACTGAAACAGATCCCATAATTGATTACTCTGTTTCAAGGGAAATACGACACTGTTTTGACTCTCTTGCAGATACAAAGAATTCCTTAGTCTTATTCAAATATGCACAACTTTGATATAAAACACATCTCTTTATGAAAGCTATGATTTGTTTCAGCTTTATTTTTCACTTAACCATTTAAAATCACTGAACTTGAATTCAGCCTCGGCAATTTAGCAAGACTGTTTCCAAAAAAAGGGCCGGGGATGTCACTCAGTGTAAAGACCTAGAGAAATCTCCCCTCTCTCCCTCCCCTTCCCAAACTTCCTCCCTCTCTATATCAGATCTTTAAAAAAAATTACTTTTAAGACATGGTCTTACTAAGTTGTTAAGCTGTTCAGGCTGGGTTCAAACTTGATATACTCCTGCCTCAGCTTCCCAGAGTGCTGGGATTACAGGCATGTGCCACCACACCCAGCTAGAAATTTCTTTTTAAATGAAAAAAAACCCCACCATGTTCACTAGAAAGGGGGAAAACTCATGTAATTTTAATTCATTGTGTTTCAAGATTGATGATGACTATACAGTGGTACCTCAATTCACGAACCCCATCTGCTTTACCATTTGGGGGAAGATGGTCGTGTTTGTGTTTGTGTGGGGACGATGGCCCTGGTTCTGTTTGTCACCCAATACAAAGTTTGTGAACAGAAGCAAAATTTTGTTGAATACTTTTTGAGGTGGTTCGTGAACAACAATATAGGAATCCAAGCAGCCAAATCAATAAATTTGAAATTTAATTAGCTGAGCTCAGGACCACTCATGTACAGACGCCCGTTTCAAGAGTCCAAACAAGTGGTCCCGATCTGTAAAGCTACAGAGCTTTTAAACAGAGAACCACAAAAAGACATCCTGCTGGAAACAATTTAGCTAACATCTTACATTAATTTTTGGTTGACACCTGTATCCTGCTTCTTTGGTTGAGCAGATTAATTTTTCTCTTCTGGGTACAGCTCATTCTGCTTTTCTCATGAGACTTATACTGAGTAATTTCCCATTTTCCTGGGTCAAATACAGGGTATAGTCAAATGCAGGACTCAAGATGGGGTCAGTTATGCCAAGCTACAACACTTTTGAGAGCTGAATTGTTTGTGAACAGAAGCATTTGTGAACTGCACTATTACTGTGCTTTGAAAAGTTATTTCTAACATGAGGCAGTGCGTTAAGCCAAACTGTGCCATGGTGACCCGCAGTGGCCAGCCCTCACCTAAGCAAAACAAAGAGAAAGCTGCTCTGGACATTCACGCCCACTTTTCATCTCCACTCCAAAAATGCCTGAATTCAGGTTTGATCAGGTTTGCCTAGTAGCCTTAAGTAATTTTCCCTTTATTTTTCAACATTTCCTTTTGATCACTTCAGACAATTTTTCTTTTGGAATGAGCAAGAGTAGAAGAGAGGAATGTTGAATCAGGTTAAGTAAACAAAGAATCTGTCACATAAAGCAACTTTAAATCCTACTCAGAGCATCCGCGCAGGACAAACGGAAGCATTATTCTCTGGAAAACATTATTCTTTCCAACAGTGTGTAATGACATCCTCCCGAGGGACTGAGAGGAACCTTCTTCAGAAGTCATTTTCTGGATTCCAAGAATAATGAGTGCCGTCCAGTTAAAAGCCAGACTTGTGTCTTTTTAAAGTTAAAGAGGTTCAAAATTAGAACTGCAAAAAGGTGCTCACAGGAATCTGAGCTCTTGTTTTTTAATTACGTATGGATATTTCTGTGAATAAAGACAAACAGCAAGCCAGGTTTTTACACTAAACTTATAAATGAATGGATGTCTCTAACAGTGAGGCCAAATACACTTTCTATTCTTGAAGGACAATTATATCAGAACTAATATCCTAGATGTAAGATAACTTGTTCCGTCAGCTCCTTTGAAGCATATCAATTTCTTATGCTTAATTGTAAATGTGGATTTTGTTTTTAGTACTGTGTTTCTGTAACCTCCCAAGGACCTGACTCCAAATAACTCTGGAAAGTCAGTTTTTAAAAAAGTATGGTGTGACTTAAGAAATAAAGTTGGCTTTTTTAAAGTTGATGTTTAAAATGTTTAAACAATAAAAAGGTAAGGGTAGAGAAATTACTTCTTTTGAATCAAACACCACTTATAAGCTTATGCTTATGCAATCGGTCTTCAAAGATCTTGGAAAATGTGTTACATCTTGAATATAACAGAACACAGAAGAAGCACACTAGAAAAAATTATGCTCTATTTATTTAGCAAAATAAACTTGAAGAAAGTTTTCTATTAAAAAAACATAAGAATCATAGCCAGATTAGATTCCCCATATTCTTTGGTATAGAAATTCAGGATATAAAAATTTTATTTTGAAAAGTTTAGTCACTACATCTATAACAGTTTTCTATCTATAATTGTCTTGCTTATTGAAATACCAATGAATGCATTAAACCAACCAATTAGATGCCCGCAGAGACAAACATCCCCAAGCAAATACTCATTTGCATACTTGTTTGCTACTGACAACAAAGAAGTTTTTAATGATCATCTGCCATCCTTTTTATTAGATTATATGAATAATCACTCAGGTCCTGTATTAACAAAAGCTGTCATTCATTCTTTAAAAGTCTATATTTCTTACAACTGTGTGCTTCAGTCTTTTCCATAAAATAGTATCTGGAAATTACCAATAGCATTAAATTAATCATAATAAAACCCAGTTTTATCTAAATCTTTCTTTCTTTCAAGAAAAAAAAAAAAAAAACAGACTTCTTTTATCTTTCTAAAAGTAGTACCACCAGGACTGCTGAACTCCAGAAACTCCAGGGGACAATCAAGTTACTTTCCTAGCTTTGATACATTCTTGGCTTGCTCCAGTTCTGATTTCTCCAAGCCCTTTCTCATGCAAAAATATCTGCCCTTAATTTGTGAAAACAAATCTGAGAAAAAATTTCAGTAACTGGAGCAAGGATTTTTTTTTTTTTGCACAGACTCTTGGGATCACAGAAGGATCAAGCAGGTCACAGCTTCAGTGCTAACACTGCGACTGAGAGCAGGAGGAATACAGCCACAGTAAGATGCAACTGTCTATCAGGAGCACTGCGTAAAGACATCGTTGGCCTTGCAGACTCTGGGCTCTCTGGAAGTAAGTCAGCTGCATTGCCAACATGACAAAGAAAATTGCAATGTTCAGGATTAAGAACAGTCTCGTGTATGAAGCGGACAGAGACGGGGCTCTGCCATGAGTCGTGGCCGCCATCTGTGCCTGCCCAAACTGACCCCTGATCGAGCCCCCGTTTTTATGCTTTTCGTATGTTACATCTGCAAAATCTAAAAGGTCTTTCATTTCCTCATCTTCATCTATGGGGAGTTCTTTCTGGGCCAAAATCTGAGCTTTCTGTCGAATCTTTTTCTCATTGACTTCAATCTGTGCAAAAATATCAGGGACGGCATCCACGAATTTATAGCGTTTGCCTCCCCTTCGGCTTTTCTTTGCCTTGCTTTGCTGCTGCTGCTGCGATATTGCAAAAATCCTGTCAATGGCCTCCTCCGTCTGTCTCTTATCCGAAAACCTCAGCAGGCGCTCTGCAGTCTTCCGAAAGCTCGCTGTGTTCCGGACTCGGGACAGGATCTGTTTCTCCAGCAGCTGAAACACTGGCTTAAAATGCTGCAGGTTCTGCTCCACGATGGCAGCGTAGTCCTTCACCTCAGGGACACTGGCGCTCTTGAGGGCACAACTCTGGTCAAACAGGATTTTCCGGTGGTCTGCGATGACATGTGCAAAGGCAGAGGGCCCCGTGGCCTCCGCCGTCCACAGGTAAGTGGTGTAGGCATGTTCGCTGGTGGCGATGAACACATCGAGCCGCTGCCGGTCCCCATGGATGCTGAAGCTCTGCACCTCCACTGACGGCCCTATGAAGAGGTAAGCTGCCCTGGTGACGGGCCTGCGGAGCCGCATGGTGACATTGACGTAGTTTGTCCCATTGTAGGGATAGCCCCGAGGATAAGTCACTGAGGCAAGTGTTGCTTTCTCACTGTAGCCAGTATCGTCCATCCAGTACATTTTATACAGACCATCGTGCTGCCTGATGAACGCCCCGTGGACCCCATCTACCACCGTCTCCTCGAAAGGAACGTCCACATTGTGGAAGAAACTCGCTGCCGTCTCTAGGGTGCTCTCCTCCCCTAGGTGGATCTGGTCCACCAGCAGGAGAAGCTGAGGGTGGAGGAGGATCAGATTCCTCTGAATGTTCTTCAGCTTCAGCTGGGGGTTGTAAGCTCGCACGGCCTCTCCCCGGATGAACACCACCCCATCTTTTTCCACCGCTGCGACCACTCTCCCCTGACAGCTAGCTGCCAGGTCATGCTTGTATTTAGACCATTTGGATGAGCAGTCTTCAGTGACCTGACCTTCCCAGGGAGAAAAGCAGCTCTTGGACACCGCCGGAGCAAACATCAGAACGTTGTTGAAGAAGGTGTACTTGGGCCCGTAGAGCGCCTCAGTGATAAAAGGCACACCATTGGGGGCAAACGTAAAGGAGTTCTGGTCAGGATGCTCATGCCCCGCATTAAAATTCCTCCAGCCTCTGATCCAATCTTTGTATTTGTTTCTGTGGACAATGTCAAATATTGCACGTCCCCCAAGTTTCCCTGACTTGAAGGAAAGGAAAGACCGATTGATTTCTGCGGGCAGCGCACTTCCGTAAGTAACAACACCCCAGTCTTCGAAATAATGCAATGTGGGGGTGCCAAAATCTGGAGGAGGAACTGATTTCAGGCTGGCGTCATACCTATAGGGGTTAATTTTTAAAAATTAAATGACTTTCTGATGGAAGCAGAAATAACTTGCCAGAACTGTGATAATAAAAGCCGGAAGAAACAACACAGATGCTATGCAGAACCACCATCAGGCAGACAGTATCATGGGCATTTCTGAAAACACGCCAGGATTTGGTACACACAGAGAAAACCAGTGGTGAGCGGAAAGGAGCGGAGATTTACAACTATGGCCCTTGGGTTTGACACTGGACTGACTTTTGCTGAGAATCTCTGCCTGGACCTTCTTTACTCGGGAATTTCAGAGCTGACACCCAAAGTAGTGGGGCTCATGGATGTAACCACTTCATCTCCGTTTCTAGCTGAAAGTCTCCTATTCTGGTAAGCCTCATGCTAAGATGTGCACTCTAATGAGCCTGGAGTTACAATGAAGACTTGTTCTGTTTAAACTGATATCACTGAATGTTTGATTTGAAATCAGTTCTTTCTGGAAAAAGTCATAAATTAAAACAGGGTAGAACTTCATAGGTGAGATAGAATTTACAGCCAATTTCTCACCTAAGAATATAAACAAGTGAAATTCCAGAAAACTAATCCTGGAGGGGTCACAATGGTAGCTACCACTGCCTCGGTCAGATCCAAAGGTTCTGTGTTACTTTGTATATTATGCCATACTGTGTAGGTAACATTTTACTTATGGTACATGTTTAATGTTAAAATAATACAATAATCAATAATTAAATTTTTGTGCTAGGAATATACTTTTTTAATTGAGAAAATCTCCAAAAAAATAAAAATGTAAATGATTGTTTATTTTTGATTTGGGGTAACTGCTTTGAACTATCATATGATTTGCTGCTCAAAGGGAAGGTCGGTAGACTTGTGTTACTAACTCTTACACATTTTTGCTTTCCGAGTCAATCGCCTGCAGTATAGATAGTCTTGCATGTGTTTGATTTTAGCCGTTTGATCTGTTGTTCCAGAGTCTCAGTTTCAGAACATCAGAAATCCTATTTCTATTGAGGTACTGTGTAATGCTGGTATCACTAATGTGATTTAATAATCACAGACACAAACTGAACTGAACATCCTTCTCTTCATTTTGGTTGGTTTCATAGACTTCTGTAAGGGAAGATCTGTAACTACATTAGCCTTAGCATTAACTTGACTCCTCTAGTGAGCATTAAGTCTGGTTCTTTATTAGGAGAAATTAACACACCATTATGTAATTCCACTGTATCCTGGGAAGGAGCTGTTAACACAAGTAGTTCTTTGTTTGTTTTTTGTAAAAGCAATATTTAAACTGCTAGTTAAACCACAGACCATTTCTGCTTTGCTAATATTTTTAATTGTTTAAACTTTGAAAAAAAAGAAGAATGAAAAGCAAACTATGGAGAATTCATTTTGGAGTTGCTATAAATTTCGATATCTTGAAAAGACACCAAGGATTAAAACTTAACTGGTTCCCTATAATCTTGATTTTCAACTTATTGGATGCCAACAATGTATTTGGCAATACTTTCAAAGGAAACCCAAGCTTCTCCTTCTAGGCTTAAAAGATTATAGCAAAAAAAAAAATTATACGCTCCTTTGGTTATCAAAGTGAAGTTGTCAAACACTTTTAAAGACTCTCCAAAGTTTAGGAACAGCTTTGCTGCTTGAAGATTATAATTCTCCACTTACCAGAACAAAACAAAATATTTTGCTACTTTTTCTTTTTGATATGCTTATCAGAATAATTTGGTCTAAGTTTTGTGGGGGGAGTTCTTATGTGCTTTTAAAAATGATGTACCATCTAATCGTGCTAATTTATGAAAAAGTACAAGCCTACGACACTTCTAATATGAAAGAACCAAGAACCAAGCACAGCAATTAGATCTTAGATGAAATATTTTGAGCAGAGGTTCAAACACTGATAAAAGTTGCATTGAAGCTGTACATACATAGGTGATATGGGAAGGGATTGAAAAAGGCTTTAGATTAATTTTTCTTCTGAAACACAGAAAAGTTAGTGCCCTGCATGGATAGTTTTCCAGGTAGGATCTCTCTGGAGAGCGGCCCGAGGTGTCATACCAGAGAAACTCCGTGTGCAGAGTACACCAGCGCTGCCCTTTGGATGCGGTTCCCGGGCCCTCCAGCACCCGCTGCCTTCTGATTTGGTCGGCCAGCCAGTTCCCGCTGCCATTGCGCATGACAAATTTATCCAAGAACACCAGCTGGCTTTCTGGACCGTAAAACCAGTTGTAGTTTGAGTCTGCAATCGCCACAGTTCTTTGAAACCCTGGAGAAGGAAGTTAGAACAAATAAACAAGTTTAAAACTGAATACGCCTATAAAGATCTAAATAATGATTTCCAACTTACTTGCAAATTATGATCAAGTGTGTCTCCTGCATAACAGTAAACGAAAGCACAATGTCCACATTCTATACGTGCCATTCATTGTAATTCCCTGTGCATAAGTTTGTATTTGTGATACAACCGCTTGCTAGCAGTAACAAATATGCCACACCATTAAGGTGTATGCACACCGCCCTCCTTCCTCACTTTCCGGTGTGCACAATAGGTAGCATTCCATTTGCATCTATGCATGGATATCTTCTCATGGTCAGCAGCTCAACTCGCACTGCAGGCTAAGACCGTAACCTAAGGTGCTTCAGTGGGACCTCCACTAAACTGGGTAGTACACGGTGTATACAATTCCAGGTAGAAGCCTAATGCCCAGAACAGAGTCTGACAGCATGTGCTGCTGGAAGGCAGAGAAAATGCAAGGATCCTAAAGTCAGGCATCGCTACTGGAATAAGCAAGACTGGACATGCTCTGGGTACCCTTCAAAGGAAGATGCAAGAAAACTGTGAGCCAGAAATAATCATTACCAAAACATCTACCGGAGCAACACATGCATAAATACAAATAGAGAATGTAGTTGAAAATGGATTAATAAAACCGATAATTTATTTTAAAATGCTACCATGATTGTATTTACATTTAAATTAGTTAATGATTCTACTTTCGAATAGCTTAGTAAATGCCCTTCTAAGTAAATCTTATTATAAACTGTGAGATCCAAAAATCGCATTTTAGGTCTATGAATTCCTTGAAAGCAGAAGATGTTTTATTTCACTTTAAATCCCCTGCCTAGTACAATGACTGGTTTGTGCTCCAGTCATTCAATATAAGTTTGTTGAACTGATATGAGCAAATATCCTTACATATGCTCTTGTTAGAGCATATACGCAGTTTCCAGCTTAGGAAGTAGCCCACACGCAGCGCCTAGCAAAACTAAGCCTGAGACAGCTGGCTGTTAGATCTTAGCTCACATCATCAGGCACTAGAACTATAAAGCTTCCTTGCTTCACAGGTATGGCATTTGTTTATCAAAGACGTGCTACAAGACAGGCTTCTCCTACAGTCTATTAAGCAATAAAGTAACATGGTTCTTAACGTAAGTCTAAACTAAATCTGAAAAGTTTGCTCTGCACTATTTTTTATAACTAATCTAATAGAGGAAATTTTATCTAATCTATGTGCTACCAGCATGAAAAGATTTAAATGCTGGATTCTTTGTTGTAGGCCTACAATGACAAAATAAAAATTGTGTTTCCTGGGGGGGAAAATCTATCCTGGTGGAAACTGACCTCCTAAACTTATCTAATATTTCAATCTTGTTTTAGAAATGAGAGCTTCAAGGGTTTTTTAAAGAAAGAAATAAATAAATCCAGTTCTCTCCGAAGGCTAAACTACAACAGCAATATAAGTTAGAAGTTTTATAGCAACTCTTTTTTTTTTTTTGCTTTTTATATCCTGTACTACTTCAATCAGATAAAGAAAATATTAAAATTTGTGCATTTTATCTTTGATTTTTTTGGGTCATTCCTGCAGTGTTTGGGTTCAAAGCTAAAAATTACAACAGAATTGATCAAGAATCACTGAAAAAGGAAAACGGACAAATATTGTTTATATTTTATTTAGATGAATTAAAGTGACTTTATGAGCCTTTTATATATAAAAGAGAGAGAGAGTGTGTGTGTGTGTATTTTACCATTAAGGTTGTATGTATATAGATATATATACACACATATACTTTATATACATATACTTATACACGTACATAAAAAATGTAGTACTGTGGGGAATAGAAATTATATTTGATTATTTTCCAAGTTTTATAATACTTAAATCACAAACCTTCACGTTCCAAAATGTTCCAGCTATGTGGAGCTCTTGAATTCAATTTTCCTCTGTGTCATATGTATAGTAAAAAACAAACCTTTTAAACTCAGTATGACAAATCTCACCGACTTCCTTCTCTTAACTTAAAAACCGTAATTGTGTAACACTTTCCCCCTTCTGACGCTTACATACCTGGCAAGACAGTTCGATACATAAATGCAAAGTGGCGTTTAAGCCAAGGGTGGCCGAAGTGGTTGATACCGAAGTGCCTCTGCACGAGGAACAGGTACTGGAACAGAGACCTGGTGGTGTAGCTGCCATAGGCCACTCCTTCATAAAGGGAGCCATCAGTCACCTCTCGGAGCAAGACCAGGGATTTCTCCATGATGGTCAGGACTTGTTTGGTCCATAAATATGCTTCCTGTAGATACCCTGGGGGTAAAACACACGCAAACAGTGGCTAAGGGCACCCACCACACCGCCAAATGCAGCCCCGGACATTATCTGATCCGTTTACACTGTTACAAATAGCATTTTGTAAACCCTCACTTGCTAACACTGTAAATAATACCCTGTGAACAGAGGTCGGTAGACATTAAGAAGTTTCTGTATATAGGTTACTTATTAATTGACAATAAATCCATAAGTGGTAACAAGTCATTTCTCAAGTTTAAACAAAACTAGATCACCTATAAGATCACAAATCAAAGGTAACTTTGTAAGGCAGGATTTAGATCTTAAGACTATTTATTGTTCCTGAAATCTTAAAAGTTCTTTTTGAAGCCTCTTTGCCACACTGTTGCTGTTATTTTATAGGGTTGCAGTTATCTAAGAAATACTGTCAGTGCTAGCTGAGTCTTCTGTTCCTACTACCACTGTACCTTGTACCTTTCACGTTTTATATGCTTTTAGAGTCTCAGGGTCTGAAGAGGCAGCACAGTAGGGTTCAGAGTCCACTGAAATGGAGGGGTGGGACCATCAGCCAGGATGCCTGGCCTGCCAAAATGTCACTCTCTTCAGTCTCCCTAAAGAAACTTCAAAGTTCAAAAAGCTTGGTAAAATCTTCTGGACTTAGAAGTTTAAGCACGAAGGCCATAGCAACAATGCACATTTCCATAATATTTATGATGCCCACAGCTCTGAACGGAATCTTAACCCTTTAACAACCTGATTATGCTACGTGAACCCCCAAGTTACAGAACGGTTGATTTGTCCCAGATCTCAGGCAGACTATCCAAAAGGAACGAAACTTTGATCTAAACCTAGGACTTCAGATTTAAGGTTTGGCTGGTTTTCTCTGATTGTTTTTAAAACACACAATGCTTGCGGATAAAATAAAGCTCACTGCCTCCAATCTAGAGACAGCCCCATTGCTTCACTCCTAGAAAGGCGTGACCTCTACCAGAGCCTACATGGTGTGGGAAGTTTCAGGGTGCCTGGATCCCAGGTACCACAAGCTCACAGGACAGCTGTGTCCTCAGGTACAGCTGTACAGAGGTGACCATTAACTGCACTTGGGCTCCTTCCACCACCCAGCTCTACACTGGACATGGCCAGCCTAGGTCATGGCTTTCCATTTCCATTTTCTGTCATTTGGAGTTAACATGTCAGTCATCTCACTATCCCTCTGCCCTCCATCTCCAACGAGATTCCAGTGTGTCCAAGGCTGCTGTTCCCTGGATATCATATTACCCAAGGTTCCTTCTTCTTTTCGATTTCCTCGTTAGGTAGAATCTCCTAAAATACTGCAAACTCCTGTCAGTGCAAGGGACTGACACTGCTAACTGACGTCCTTTGAAGGTTTTATTAAGCACGGTGGCTGATATGACAAAGGACAAAGTTAGCTCTGAATAACATCTGTTGCTGAATAACCTACCAAATGCTAGTTTTATGGGGATATTAACAAGAGTTAAATGCCTTTAATTTCCAAACTCCAATTACGTATTTAATATTCTAATAATTCACTGTGATCTTAGAAGTGCTTCTCTTAAATATCTTAGTTGTTTGTGGATTTCCACAGGAACTGAAATTGAATTGCAAGGAAAAAAAGCAGTGTTGACAATTATGTAATATGTTAATACAAAGTAGTCACACAACCCACGAAGGCTGCTTTTATTTTCACTTAAATGATCTAGCCTGGTTGTTTTAAGTCTTTAATATTCTTTTCAAATAACAAACCACCCATGTAGCTTTCTATTTTTATGAGTACGTTCTACAGTCCATTTTGATCCCAACCTCATGGGGAGCTGGTGCACACAGACTAAATCCTAATTCATTTCTTTCCCTTTGCAGATTTTATTAAGAGTGGTGGCTGATACAGCAAAGGACAGAGCTGGTCTGAGTAACATCTACTGTTGAATAATTTATAAAATCCTTTCATTTCTCGATCCCCTTCACTTTTGTAAAAGACCTATTTTCCTACTTCCTAGTAGCTTTCTTTTATTTTGCTCCTTATTTATATTTTGGATTTTTCATATTCCGACCTTGTGCTGCTAGTTTATGGCCTGGACCGTCTAGGCCATAAGTAAGCAAGCTGCAGGTTGATAGAAAAAGAAATTGAGAAAGCAATATCCCTTAATTAGCTAAGAGGCACTCTGGTCGCACTTCATCTCATGGCCTTAGTTAGGATCCCAATGTGAACACATACCTAAGAACAGTCATGAAATGCTTTTGCACACGACATGCCATGACTGATACGGTGCTGCCCTGAATGCAATATGACCCACGCACCTTTGTTCATCAGAATGAGACTTCCTGTGAGCAGAGCCATGCAGTTGGTGGGCTGGTGATTGTGCAGGTACTGAAAGCCCCATCCTCTCCTGTAGGAGGTCTCATACATATATCCCGAGGCATTGGCAATCACTTCAAGAAACCGTTCCTGCTGCATCGTGCTCAGGTAGTTGTATAAGAAGTCATAGGCAGTGGCAAAGCCCACCAGGGAGTGTGCCAGCGGGACTTCATCCCAAGGAGCATCTTTCACCAACCTGCGGAGATGAATAAACCACTCAGCAACTGCACCAAGACTCTCAGCTTTCTCAGCCTTCTGACACACCAACTCCTCAGAACTACAGGGCACAAAGGATGACACCACCAACAGGACCCCAAAGCACCATTTTTCCCCACGAGACCCAAACAAAAGCTGGCCTCCTGTGAAAATTACACTCAGCGCTTTTCTCATCTAGGCTTTGGGCAACAGTAAGATTTTAAGAATTTTTACTTTTCAATTGCACTCTTATGAAAGGTAGTAGAAAATATTCAAAGCAATTTACAGCACAGGGCACATAATGGCGAAATTCCCTGGAGTCTTCCCCCAGTGCCCAACCCTCCCTGTGCATGTCAGTTTCCCATCCTATCTATGGTCAGTGGGACATCTAAGTCTGTGCATTCTCCATGTGGACAGACCACTGGTCGACACCAGGGTCAATAAGGTTGATTTAAGTGAGCAGAATCTGATTCTACCTCAGAATTCCTCTACCTCATTCTTTACCATAAAATGAACTGCACACGCTTGAAGATTCTTCAAACACCTTCCGGAGACTCCTGCAAGCTGATCCTCTGAGATGTACTGTATCATCATTTCCTAGGAAGCCTAATCTGTTTGACTCCCTACATTAATCTGCAAATATTTTAATAGTATGTGGCCTGTACTAAACAGGAAGAGAAAAAGGATCTTGCACAATCAGAACTGTAAAGAATTATCTGGAAAACCCTGCTCATCTGTTCAGGATGTTTTTTTGAGTGATTCCTAAGACAGAGAAACAAAGAAAGGATGGGCAGTGCCGGGGAGCCGGAAGAAACCCATCAGCTAGGGATTAAGCTCCACGTCCTAAGCTTTGGCAATCAGAGAGCCCTCACCCTCTTTCTCAGAATGTTTTACAATTCACAAGACAAAAAACAGAGGCATACAGGGGAAGCCCATACTTTGAAATATAATTATCAACATATATATTTTTTTAAAAAAATAATGTAGGTCCTGTATTTAGGTATTGAATACTAATATTTTGCAGTGAGGATACTATCATAATTTATAAATTTTGAGATGTTTGTAACAACTGTAATGCAACATGGAAATATCTGTGCTGTGACCTGTCTGTAACAAAGTTACAGGTTCTCTCAATATTACTGATGTTGTTTGTTTCTATTCCTGATAGGAAGGCATGCTAAGTGTTAGTTGGAATTAGTGAAAATTAAAATGAAGCATTTCTTCCCCAAATGAACCTCACAGACCCAAGGCACAGAATAGTTTTAAAATATTCTGAGCTCCTCTTCCAGACTACATTTTTCCTTTAGACGTTTATACTACTAACACCATCTTGGTGGGAGCATCCCTAGACGCCCTGTGAGAATTTCAACAAATCTTCCAACAATATTTTAGCATCTTCCTTGCCTTTCTGATCCCTTTAGTAAGTACATGTGCATGAATATACCTACGTGCATATATGGACTTACATATGTATCCCCTACTGGAATCTGTTTTACCAGGAACACAAGGAGAGTCTCTTTAACGGGTGTGTGCAGGGGTGATCAGCACACAGGAGGGACCCTGCCTACACTAAACCTGACAATGGCAGAGACTGATGCATTATTAGAATTTAAATCCTACAAGGACAGGAGGGGTCTTTCTTCTGCTGCATGCAAAACTAGATTTCCCACTGAGAACAGTTTCTATACATATTTTTGGAAAGAAAGAAAAAATGAAGAGACAACCCTATAAAACCAGGCAATACTATGGACAATGATTACATGGTCGTAATGAAGGCAGGAATGTGGAGGGAGACCTTTCCATTTAGAAATAATTACAGTACTCAGACCCGGCCCGCTATTAAAAAGACTGAGACTGATGAATTTCTAGTCCATTTTGTGACCTTGCTGGGGTACATACTGTGTGTAAACTGACAGTAAGAATGTGTATTAATTCCCTACTTCTGAGGGAGAAGCAACTCATATGCCCTGGGCTGGGGAATTGGGAATGCATTTTTCACAGATTTGTGCCTAGCCCTGTGTCACTATACTGTGTCATGGTTACCTAAGGGTGACAATCTATATACCTAGTCATAGCTGCTATCAATGATGTGAGATACACTGATCTGAATATAGAAAATGACTATTAATTTCTTGGCTTAGAGGCTAGGATGTTGGCAGGGAAAGCCATAAAGAAGTGCAATTTCCATGAACTAAACTGTAACCATAAAAGGAAGAAGAGGCATAAATATCTTTCCAAAAATCAGCAGTCCTATAAACCCAAAACTTTACAACAATATTATATAGATAGACTTCTTCCATTATTATAAATGCTTCCTGATCTATTACAGAATAAAACAGTAGACAGCTGTCTTGGTTACTTTTCTCTCATTGCTGAGACAAAATACTTGACACCCAAAATTAGGGAAGGAAATATCTATTTAGCTTACAGTTTTTGGAAGTTTCAGTTCATACTCAGCTGGTTCCAAGGCAGGGTGGCGTGGCTGAGGAGCAGCCATGAACGGCAGCCACAAGCAACAAGTGAACAGGGTAAAAAGACAAGGCATGGCTCCTTCCCTCCCTTACATTGTATGCTGCCTACCTGCCCCTCAGCAGGTACAGCACTCACACAGCCAATCCCAGCACTAGACAATAAACCAATCATGAATGCTAGATTCAGCTGCTTCCATGACTGCATGAGGCTTTGGGTAGACATTTAAACAAACCACAACATTCCAACCCTGGCCCCCAAAGACTCATGTACATCTTTTATACAAAAGGCATATAGTCCATCTGCAAGAATTGCCAAAGTCATTACAATTTCAGCATTGCTAAAAAGTCCAACTCCCAAGACTTCTCCAAGATCTAAGGTAACCTCTTAGTTGTGAGCCCCTGTACAAATGAAAACAAAGTTAAACATTTCCAGCATTTAATGGCACAAGATAGATATTACCATTCCAAACAGTACAAATGAGAACACAAAGGAATGGGACCAAAGCAAGTCCAAAATCCAGCAGGGCAAACATTAAGTCCTGGATTTCCATCCCAGCATCTGAAGCAATCTGGCTATGAACTCCAAAAGGCTTGAGTGACTCCACCCCATGACATTTCTGGTGTTATAGCTCCCATGGCTTCTGCCTTAGGCCTACTCTATTCACTCTTTGCAGCTTTCCTTAGATAATCTATAGTCCTGGCTTTTCCAAACTTGTGGGTTCTCCATTACACCTTTAGCTTCACTCACAGCTTCACACACTGCCCTCTGAGGGGCACACAGCCTGGCCTCCCCGGCTCTCTGAAACTGGGGTGGAAGCTGCCTTAACCTCTGAACTTGTGTATTCTGCATGAGCTTAAAACCAGCACCACATGGATGCTGCCAAGATCCACTGCCAGCTGGAGTAGTAGCCAGGATTTTCTCTCCTGGCTGTAGGGTCAAGTGCCTGAGGACCACTGAGCTCTCTGAACCTGATTGTGAGGAACAGCTTCTCTATGTCACCTCCATTCAGGAATCTGGTGCAGCCGCCACCATTTTGGAACCTCATGTGGCCTCCACTACTATTCTGGAACATGACGCTCTGTGACTTTTTCCTCAAACCAAAGTCTTTTCCTTTTGCAGTTTTGAGGCTGCAAAGTACAGAGGCCTGCCACTTTCCATGGTGCTCTCAGGCTTTTTTATTTTTATTTTTATCTTCTTTTTCAGCAATAGAGACCTCAGCTCTAACTTTGTAAGCTCACAACTTTATTGGAGCCTCCTTTCTGGCCAAACTCACAATATTTTAAATCACCCTGCTGGGCTCTGTGCTCTTGATTCCCAACAAAAATCTAGCTAAAAGCCCCCAACAATAGACATGTCAGTACTTCAACATTTGACTGTCTAGAAATTTCTTCTGCCAGATTAATTAATCTGCCACCCTTAATCTCAGTCTCAGGCAAAGTCTCTGGACACAAGAAAAATGCAGACAAACTTTCTGCTAAGCCATAATACACATTGTCTACAGTCTAACAACCAGTGCAGTGCTTTTTCCCAGAAGAAACCACCTGACCCTGGTCTTTACTGGTCTTCTGAGCTCTGACCAGAACCCCCTACACAGTCTAAGGTGTTCCAGCACCACTCTTTGAGGCAACATCTCCAAACCTTTCCAAACTCTTCCATTAGCTATTCCCAAAGGTTCCTGAACCACATGATCAGATACAATCTCAGCAACGACCCCACTCCACTGGTACCAAATTCTGTCTTGGTTACTCTTCTCTCATTGCTGAGGCAAAATACCTCATGCCCAACATGAAGAAAGGAAAGGTTTATTTAGTTTACAGTTTTTGGAGATTTCAGCCCATACTCAGTGGATCCAAGGCAGGGTGATATGACGTAGATGCAGCTGTTTACGGTGGCCACAAACAACAAAAGTCAACAATTGTAAAGAGGGCAAAATATACCTCTTTTATGAAGTGCAATTTCCATGAACTAAAGTATAACCATAAAAGGAAGCAAAAAAGCATACATATCTTTCCAAAAATTAGCAGTTTTACAAACCTAAAGCCTTATATCAATATTATATTGATAGACTTTCTTCCATTTTTATAAATCCTTCCTGATCTATTATGTACAGAATACAATAGCAGGCAACCCAAGAAATATATGTTACTAAAACTTCCCAGCTTATTTGGCTAAAAAGCCAATAAAACGAAGTCTACTAACAATGTATCTATTTTTATGTTGACCTGAATTTAAAATGTTTAAATGATTCCATTTAAAAACTTTTCAAACAGTTTTGATAGTCTGTAGAAAATTATCTATAAATTAATATTTAGTGTTACAAGAATAGTATTGTTACAATGGTGCTAATGCTGTCTTAGCTTGGGCTTCTGGAATAGAATATCACAGAGTAGGGGCTTGTAGGGGCTTAAACAACAGAAACCCATGCTGTCCTATTTCTGCCAGGCAGAGGTCTGAGTTCAGGCAGCTGGCTCAGGCTGGGTGACAGTTCTCTTCCTGGCTAGTAGGTGGCTGGCCTCCTCTCACTGTGTG